TTCTCACGTGTTTGACCTTCCAAAATTTGGTTTTGATTTTTGGTTTGGCTGTTCACATTTCATTGTAGCTACGAACGTCTGAGTGTTTGTTGCTGATGGTTGCACGATGAACGCTTTCCGCATGCTCTACGCTCCAATGCACAGCGGCGACTGAAAACGGCAACACTGCCAGCACCATTCAATGCTAGGCAAGGTCAGTTCTGGACGCGTTTGCTTAATATTTTTAAAATTTCCCAAAATAGTTTTAATCTCAAAAGTTAGTCTATAAATACATACACACACACATACGCCATACAAATGTAGATTGGCATGAATGCATTAACTTGTGTTATTGGTTAAAGTGTTGTCATTTATGTTTCGTGGCTGTCGCAATCGCAGACATTTGAGTTTACTGACCGCGTCGACGCCTAATCAAAACAAATGATTTTGGCCACCACGCGGAAATGAACTCGATGCGCTAAAAGCTTCGTTTAAGGTAAATCCACTACATTTCCAATCTAAGTATGAATTTAGTTAGTTTGTGTGGAAATTGAAGATCTGCGCTATCACCCCTGTCCAATGGCGTACATTGACTCGGCGAAGTAAAACAAATCCAAACCAAAAAAAAAAAATTTTGATTCGAAAAATCACAACTTTACAAGTTCACCACTTAATTGCAAGTCGGCTGATGGCATTTTGACTCACATTTCCTGCACATTCGGCTGACATGCAAACAAGCGCTCGCAATGGCGGCGACTCCAGCAATTGAATTTAAAAAAAAAAGTGTGTCATCCGCCATAAGGAGGTACCCAAACAATGGAGACCGAACATTCTGAGTTACTCATCGTATGAACGTTGTCGTTCATAAAATTCATAATTGCACGAAATGAATAAAAATTTAACAATATTTATTGCGAGTTTAATGTGAGATGCGCCTGATCATTCATTGGAGTGCCTTGCCCAATGCGTTACAGTTGGTTGACCAATTTTCAATGGCATCCAATGTTTCGTATTGCTTTGTCACATATGTGTGGACATACATGCATACACACAGACATGTACTACACACATACATAGGTATTTCTTATAGGCAGCACACGCAGTTGTTGCAACATCTTCCACATTGCTTTGTGAGAGTAGTCGATTATTAAATATTACAAAATATATGTACATATGTATGTACATGGATTATTATTGGTCGAATTAGTGGCGCTGAGTTTTCAAAATTAGCCTAAAGTTTATAGCTATATTATTCTCCCAAATCATTGTTTTGGCACTGAAAGAAACGGGGGGCCACCCGCAACAAGCCTTTCTTCAACTTCTTTGATTGGTCCCCATTAGCTGCTTTTACACGGGTCGATTTCTGTCGACTGGAAAATCGACTGGAAAATCGACTGAGAAATCGACCAGGCAAAACATCTACATTTGACGTTTGAATTGCCATTTACACTGGTCAATTTTGGTTGAACGACAAAAATCGACTAGAAAATCGACCCACTTAAAGGCAGCTTATGGTAATTTCCATGCCAAAAGAACGACTCGCAAAAACTCGCCCAGGTACCGTGAACTAAGCACCCGCAAAAACAACTACTACAACCACATCTTCGAATGACCGAAAGGGGCAAAAGAAATAAAAATATCTGGAACCTTAAACGATGCTTCAGATAGGTTTGATACCTCCTACCGAGCGAAGGTAAATACAATTACAAAATGTAGAAGAAGATGTATCCTCTGCCATCAAACAAGTAGGCAATGCATTCCGATCAGGTTGTCTTCGGCATCAAAACCAATAGGCGACTTCGTATATGCACACGAAACTAGATCCTTTATAGAGAATCAGTGAATGAATTGTCAATTTCTTCACTGCCAGAAACCTAGAAATCTCCGCAGCGAAATCCACTGCCACACTTTTGCCTACGTGGACCAAGGATTGACGTCTATGTCGATGGTGCCAAAATACCGACAATCAATAATCTCAAAAGTCACGTTTGACAGCCTGCTCCCAACGATGGCCTTCGTCATCTGTAATAAATTTCGTGGCAGAAACAAAGTCCATTAGTCACTAGCCAGCAGCACCTGACGAGCCGACAAAGAGGTCCTGCTCACAATATGCAAAGCGATCAACCGATCGGTAGAAAACTACAAACGTGTGGCGGCACCTGCACGGCTGCAGAACAAACATCGAGCCGTACTTAGACCATCCGTTCGACGAAGAGCGATAAAGAGCGGCACTACTATAGAACATGTATGGCAATGCAGTCAGGAGGAGTCTCATCACCCGTAAGAACAACAGGATCAATATTGAAGAGAGTGGGACTAGGGGGGCTATACGCAAGAGAAATGCGATGCGATAGGCAATCACTACTGCGTATTACTTACGATGTATTTGCCTATCGCATCGCGTTGCTCTTTCGTATCGCATGACCGAGTAGCCGCCCAGATGTACCCTATCACAACTTATTTCCGCCTGTGGTGTCGCAGGGGGTGATTCTTTGAATAGAATAGAAACGAAAGGCTGAAATAAATGAGTAAGAAAATTGTGAGATGCTGACAGCAATAATGCCTTTTAAAAACAATAAATCCCCTGGTACTGACTTAGTTTGGTCTGACGAACCTATGGAAGTTGAAGCAGAGAGTCAGAGAGGTCAGAGTCCTGCAGTGGAATTCTGACAATCGCTACGCTGAGAATCGCTATCGCTAAATGAAAAGCAGTGGGGCCTGAAAGTATGCAACATGGGAGAGTAACACAAGCAATGCGCAATCAGCCAAAGCTGGCACTGTTGCACTAGATGTTGCATGAAGATGGGGCGCCTGCTATTCTTTTGAAGATTTTTGGCGAACAAAATTAGCATCAAGGGTTTTGTTAGAGGACCCGGGTCCACGTAATTTGCATGAATTTTTTTCTAACAGCCACCTTGCCTCTGGAAACCTTGACAAACCTTACAGTATCTTTCTACCATAAGCAAGTTTTTTATAAAAATCCATAGAAAAAGCTAAAAATATCGAATGGTTGAACGACAAAAATCGACCCGTGCAAACGCAGCTTAAAGGATTCAATAAAATTACTAGTATGTCCTTTATTTCCCAATTATTATTTCATATACTGTTTCAACATATTTATGTAATTTTTACATTTTTCAGGATATGGACACATATCGCCACGGACGGACTGGGGTAAAGTGACAACAATTTTTTACGCTATTGTGGGTATTCCTCTAATGCTGCTGTGCCTTTCTAATATCGGCGATGTGATGGCCACTTCTTTTAGGTAGCCAACCAGCTCCAATACAGACCTTAAACAATTTTCCAACCGAAATTTATTTCTTAATAATTTGATTCAGATTCATATACTGGCGCGTTTGCTGCTATGTATGCACGCGCGCTGCGCGGCGCCCACGTCGTCCGCGTCAGCGCTCCAGCCGAGGTCAGCGTTACGCGTCCCGTTCTCAACCGCCGCCAATACGGCGATCTATCCGTCTTACGCACCGCTCGGTAGCCGATTCCGGTTTCGGTAACTCGGTTGGCCTACCGCACGCCCACTCTGATCCTGAATTGCGCAGCGGGCGTCACGACTACGAAGGCGGACGCAGCAGTGGTCGACGCCACCAACACATCAGCAGTCCACAGCGCAGCCGCCACATACCGCCTTACCAATACGAGCAACAGTCCTACGATGAAGGACCGCGGCAAACACAAACTCTCAACCGCGGCTCAAGATTCGGGCGCAGCATGCGTAATCGCGAAAGCTTACGTGGCCGACACACTGTCGAGCGTGAGCGCTATGTTGGACACTCCCGACAGCGGCTTGGTTCGTGTGAAGATCTAGGTGGACCGCCGATTCCGCCGCCCTCGAAACGTTCGTTCAGCATGCGATCGGTGCGCGCGTCTAGCGCTCGTCGGGATGTTGCTCCTCTGGCGCCTGCAGCACGCGCTGAGGTCCGCGATGGGCCACGCGAGTCACGAGAAATGCGTGAAATCAACCGTATGAATCCCCGTTCTTTGCAGCGTGGCCGATCAATGCCACAGGCGCCAGCTGCCACACGCGCCAAATCTGTTGATCCTCGCCTTCATTACGAGGACGCCGTCGATGAGGAAGTTGTGCGCAAGACTCCCATCATACCCAACCGGTATGCGATTGATGAACTCGATCACAGTCATAACCGCGAGCAACGCGGCAAGCACATGCCGCGCAGTCAATCGATGCCGCGCCCCTCACAAATCAGAAACAGTTATCACGGCGATCCGCGCAGCAATGGCGATAGCTCGTACCACTCACATCACAATCAACCGCGACATGCCTCACCACAACCAACAACACATCGACAGCAATCAGGATATCATTCACACTTTGGTGATCGGTTGGAGCTTCCCGACTTCGAACCTCCACACATGAATCATAGAAAGCGTGGAAGGTCCCTAGCGCCGTTGGATGATTATGACGAAGATTTCGATGATTATTATCCGGACGATCGCAACGTTTACGACGAATACGACAACCGTGATATGGCATATCAATCAAAGCACAGAGATCAGCGGCATCGGAGAGAGCGGCCAGGTAATGCATGAAATGGAAGTATATATATACATATTGGGAAACAGTTTTTTGATCAGTGTTGGAAACTACTACTCAACCGAATTATAAGAAAATAACGGGTCTTGATATCTTGAAAATTACGTTTCGAATCGAATATCAATTGATTACTAATGCCGGGATTTGTACGCTCCATTTAAAAGAAAACAAAATATTAGTCGCCGACCGAAGGGGTTTCTTTTGGCTGAAATCGAACATGAACTCTTGGGTTTTTTCGATTTGTCATTTGAACGATTTATTGGGTATCAGCCTTAAATGTGTTTGCTCCTCTTCTACAGGATTTTCGCTTTATGCCTTTGGGTTGATGATAGTCGAGGCTATCACTGAATTCGAATATTTACTAACGTAGCGCATTTTGAATAAAATTGGGATTCTGAAAACCTGATTCTGCTGGCGAAATATTTTTTAATTAATTCTTATTTTCCTATTTCTTTCTTCGAATAGAACGCCTTCCACCCTCACCGCGCATAATGTCACCGATGGGATTCCCTGTGAAACGACAGATACGAAGGCGACTCAGCTTTGATTACGACGATGACTCCTACTACGGTGACGACTGGAGCGATTATGGCGATATGTCCCCCAAAGATCGTCCAGTGCCTATTTGGTTATGCGTGTTTTTGGTAATAAGTTATATTTTGGGCGGCGCAGCACTTTTTGCCTACTGGGAGAAATGGTCGTTTTTGGATTCGGCTTACTTTTGTTTCATAACTTTAACAACAATCGGTAAGAACCCTTTATATTCGCCAAAATAGTGAACATCGAATGTATGTATGTATGAATGTACAACTTCCGTGCTATTTTCAGGCTTCGGCGATTTTGTGCCTGCAAAAGGTGTGAAGGACGAATCAGAGCAATCAATTGCTTACTGCTCCTTATACTTGCTATTCGGTATTGCGCTACTGGCAATGAGTTTCAATCTTGTACAAGAGGAGTTTATTTCAAATGTCAAGGAGGTGGCACGTCGGTTAGGCATTTTAAAGGATGAAGAAGAGGATGATTAAATGTTTTGTGGAATGGTTTATTTTCCATTCTTTCTTTATAAATCAAATCAAAATATTTACACACAAAAATTAGATTTAAAGTGTTGTAATTTAAAATTGTATACATATAGAAATATAATTAAAAGAAATTTAAAGTATCTAAAATTATATAGAATAGAATTTTAAAAGAACATTCAGTGGTGACATAAACGGAAGTACAAATCAAAGGTAACAAAGGCAGACTGAACAAATTCATTTTCCAATAACTTGCAGATTCCAGTAAGGCATTTTGAAGCGTTTTATATGCAATGCGACATGCTGGCCTAATATAAAACTTTTAAGTTCAATAGCAGTGATTATTGTAATCGCTTCACTTTTATTTACGTAGTTTTTATAAACGTATTGAAATATTGAAGTTCAATCGGAAGAAATACTAATGTTTTCAATGTCTTCTTCTAAGCCAATGTTCTGTTAGAGGTACTTTTAACAAAACATATATAGTTGTCTTTTGAATGAAATATACAGCTATGGATACGTGCAAGAAAAAAAAAAACGTAATAGATGCGATGAAGCTCAAGATATGTTTTCCTTGTTTGCCTGCAAGTGGATTAAAAATAAATGATAAGCATAAATACAAACATACATATATACATAATTATAAAGATACCCACTCTAATAGCCGGCGCTGACGAATTATGCGTCGGAGATCGTTTGCGCGGTGAAGGGCCGGTCGACAATGAGTTGCTATTGCGCAACTGATTTGATAGTAGAACATTCATTTTTTTGGATGCGCCATTAACTGGCTGTGGTGTTGCTACGTTTGTTAAGTCTATAGGCGTCGAGTTTAAAATGACTTCAGTATTAGATATCTCTTGTGCCGAGTTCCTTAGTTCTTGCTCGTCTTCGCTAGCCTTAAATTTCAAAATAAAATGAATAAAATAGACTTTTAAAATATAATTTTTCACTTAATACTTCATCAATGGGAGCTGTAGTATCCAAATCAGACCAATCGTTTTCTTGGCGAAACCGTTTTACAATATCCAGGTGAGGCGAAGTAGCAGCCAAAGAACGAGGATACACAAAGTTGCGTTTCGATGGGGTAGCACCTGAAAAATTAAATATTAGTATATCGCACCCCGTCTTCAAAAGAGTCACAACTCAAAATAATACGTTTGTCAGAAAATGCGAAAAACATGATGATCATATGGGCATGACCGACTTTACCTTTGGCTTTTTTAACAAATTATAACAAAAATATGCTTCAGCTTTTGCTGAAAGCTAACTAAAAGCTCTATGTACATTTTTAGTGCATAATTTCAAAAATGCCAAATGTTTAGTTGTGACTCTTTTGAGGATGATGGGCGATCTGTAAAGCCCTAAAAGGATTTATTAGCTTTAGAGCAGTTGGCTAGCTAGAACCAACGGATTTATTACCTGTGGGTGCATATGTCTTGAGCTCACTTTGCTTGAAATTATTAACATCGTTCACACATGTTTGCATTTGATCTTTGTACGTGTCTGCATAATTCAGTACACTTTGTTGCAAAGAGTTGGCCAAGCCGCTTGAGACCACCACATGCTGCTTCAGTTGATGAGAATCCTCGGCAAGACCCTGCTTTACAGCAAGAGTTGCATCTTCGACTCTCTGCTCGCTCTCCAATCGGTTTCGCTTTACTTCAGCTTCAAATTCGTCAAGCACTTTTTGAGTGTGTTCGGAGTGGGTAGCAGCCGTAGCTGAAAACTCTTTTACGCGATTGCTGCTATCTCTCTGCAAAGTACAGAGTTGTTCCTGGAGAGAGCTGTGAACGTTTTCTTGTTGAGTACTACACTCCATAGCAACGTTGATATGCTGTTCGAAACCTTTCTGCGTTGAAGCATTGCCGTCACAACTCTTTTCACAAAAGCTTTGCAAAACCGTCGAACTCTGTTGCAACTTATCAATAGTGGACTGTGTGTTTTCTTCCAATTTTACTGTTACCTTGGCGATAGCGTCAGCTCGTGATTGCCGGTTCGTAAAAGACTTTTCTTTTAGTGCGTTCATTTTTTCTATAATTTCGTCCATGATTGCACGTTCTTCTGCTGCAGCGGATCGCTCATTCTCAATCTCTAAGTTTATGTTTGTCAACTGCTGCACGCTTTTCTCTGAGATTTGCCTGATTTCAGCAATTTGCTCGCTCATTTGACAAGTATGGGCTTCAAGATGTCTC